GGGGGGGGGGGGAAGGAAAAGAACCATTTTAGGTTCTATTATGCTGTGATTCTTGCTACCTGTATGGAGGAAAAAGGTAGGTGCTAGCTAAATGAAAAAGGGCACTTTTCCCCTCCAAGAGAGAGGAGGAAGAAATTGTGCATCAGGAACATAAGTGCTCCTTGCTAACTCCTGTCTGGTTGTGGTGGGGACGGGGTCATCAACCAAAAAGGGCGTGCCTCTTACTGTGAGTGGTAGGAAAGTTCCGGGATGCCCCTGGGGGAATGGGAGAGCTCTCTGATGCCGAGAGGTTAGGGAAGGTTTACTGTGCCAGCAAGGACTTCCCCCAAAAAATGAGCCTGGGAAGTGCCACGGTCAAGATTTTCCACCTCTCAAGGGAAAATCAGCTGAAATTGAATTAAAAAGGGGGTTTAGTTTCTCACCTCCTCCCACTACTTGTATGGTATAATAATACACCTCTTGAGCTTGTTCAGGTGCCCAGCTTCAGGATGTTGCCTTCAGAGTGAAGCAGGGTGTCAGGAGTGTGAACTGAAGCTGCCATCCAAGGTGCCTGCAGAGGACCAACAGCAAGTGGGACCCACCAAATTAGTGTCCTTCCTTCCTACCATTTTTACATAAAAATGTTTTTTTTTTCTGGCAGTGACATGGATAAAACTGATGCTGCTGCAGGGAAAAGAAAAAAAACCCAGCCAAACAAAGCCAGCAATGGGCATTTCTGTTGCAGGAAAGCACAACATCTTGCCCACTTGGAGTGGAGCTCACTCCTCCAGTCCAGCCTTCTTCCAGCCTTGGTCCCAGCAGTGCCCAGAAGAGCCACGCTGAGGCCCCAAAGTCCCCCCAGGAGCAGTGTGAGGAGCCTGTCGTGCCACTGCCGGAGGACCAAAGTTGTCAGCTGTGAGGATGAAGAATTTGAGGTTGGCTGTCAGAGCACTTGGAGCTCAGGAGGGGTTTGGAGGAATGCAAGCTGGGGTTACATAAAATACTGGCTCATGCTGAGAAATCATGAGTTTTGAAAGATTCAGCTAAGGAACGAGCAAAACCTTATGCTGCACATTGCTTACAAGTCAACAGGAATGAGGGGATGCTGAGGACCTCTGGAAAGCAGGCCTTGGCGTGGGGTTTTTCTTGAAGTCTTGCCACTGATCCCAGGAGGAACTGAGAGCCATGTACATCTGTCAGGAGGGAAAATCTGGCCTTTCGTTATTTCAAGTAAAGCTGGTGTAGGCATTTCAGCTTTACCTACTGGAAAAAAAATGCCTAGAATGGAGTAAACAGAAGTGGGTTTTTTTTTGTTTGGTGTGGGTTTTTTTTGTTTTGCTACTGTGTACGATATTGAAAAGTATGTCATGCAGAATATTTACTTTTTTTTGAGACACCAGAGTGTGCAAATGTTTGTGGTTTCATTTACTGGGCAAAAATGGTTGTGGCTCTTGGCAATCTGAGCTGGTCCATGGTTTCTGTGAACTCCTGGATGTGGTTCTTCCCTGGGCTTTATGGGTTACTCAAATCATATCCCATTATACAGGTAATTTGTGTGCCATGAAGATGGTGTGTGCAAGGAGCATGTAATGAAAAGGAGCACAAGACTGAGGACTTCCTGCCATGCGTTAGAAACACTGACCAAAACCATTTGCACTTTGATATTTAAATCAGACTTCAAAAATCCATGCTCAGAGACATATGCAAGTAGTTGATTTTTGGATCCCTTACAATTTTTTTCTCTCTCACTCCTCTTATTTACAGTAGGTACTCAGCATCTCACATCCACAAAAAAAAAATCAGTTAAATTATTCAAGTGCTTAAATAAAGATATGGTTGCCTGCCTGTGTTTGTTCAAATTTTTAAAAATGTTGCCTGCTTTTAAGTTTTATTTCTCTTTTCCCTCAATGATAGTCTCTCTCTCTCCTCCAAACACACTGATGGAAAAATGAAGATGTACAGATGGGCTCTTCATTTTCAGTCAGGTTGCTGTGTAAATATGGCATCAGGAAAAGAAGAGTGTTAGAAACACAGACGTACACAAGGCATCCCAACCATCACATTTTGGCTGCCTCTGCATCACTCAAGTATGCATCATCTAGCCCAAGCAGAGCCATATGAGGCCAGAGCGAAATGTACCTAACGGAGAACAAACTATTGGTAAATCGTATGCCTTTCAACCTTGCACAACGGGATAAAATAAATATGCATTAGTGCCGGGGTTGAAGATTTTATTATGTGAAGTACTAGATGTGCAAGTGCTTGAGTTCCTGATGCTAAAAAAAAGTACTAACTGTATAAATACACACATATACATGCATATATATATATATATATATATATATATATGTATATACACACAAAATATTTTTTTATATATATATTTGGGTTTTTTTTGTTTTGCAGAGCTCCCTTCAACATGGTCCCAGATAATTTCTCAGTCTCTGCAATGCAATTGCTAACAATTTAATCACCTTATAAACTTCTGCAGTGACTAACGCCACATCTATGCTTTTGGCACACCACAGTCAGAAGTTGTTTTAGCAACAGCGGTATGTAAAGCAGACGCACTATTTGTGAGGCTCAGAGCCCTTAAAAATCATTCCTTTCTCTCTGGGCTATCGACATTCCTGAGTGCTCACAATGCAGCTGCCGAGCCGCTGGACAGCCCACATATGGCTGTGCACTGAACAATAACGACTTGCTGTTGTTCTTGTTATATGCATCACCATATGTGTTTATTAGAAACAGCAATAAAATGATGACGGGCTTCTTCAGCTATCCCCACTGCTTGGGGAAAAGTGAGGGAGTAAGCAGGATGAAATCAGAGGGTTCTCCCCAGCTCTGGGGGAGTTGGATGGTGGGGTGGTGCAGTCCCACTCTTTAGGGGAGCGTGGCTATTTACTGGTAATAGTCCTCTCTCATTCCCTTTTATTAGAGAATTGCTGGAAACCTGGAAAAACTGAATCCTGAAAGTGTCGGCATCCAAAGTCCTGTTCCACTAGGGCTCACCTGTGTACAACCTGCTCTGAGTCATGCTGGAGAAACCTCCCAGCATTTCCAGGAGCTTCAGCTCAGAAGCACACTTGGCATGTACTTCCATCACAAGCACAACCATCTACTGTGGGATCACCTTCAGCATGGAGCTACCTTGAAACAACTTCTAAATTACAGAAATTTGGTCTGGGCCCTCAGCCTTTTTTAGATGGAGGAGTTGAGGTGGGAATTAGGAGCCTGAAAGAAACACAGAAATGTTTAAGGCTGTTTTGTCATCAGAGTAAAGACAAGGGAGAAATGAGTCCCAGGGAAGGGGTTTTCAAAGTTGAGAGGAGAAGAACTAAGACAGTCAAATTGCGTATCTGAAGCCTCACATGCTCCAAATTCTGTATTGTTTCCTTCTGCTTCCAAGATACAAATTATTTCATGTTAGAATCTTGATTTTTCTTGATAATGAATAGTGTTTCCATCTTGCTGCCTTTTTGCGACCAAAGTAACAAACCTTAGTCACTGTAAAAAAAACCCAACCAAAATCAGTTTTAAAAATGAATTTGCAATGCTGAATTGTATTGGGTTTACTTTGACCTTCCCACTGTGGTAAGAATGCCATTTCCACTTTTACTTCACTTCTTTTTTACTTCCTACCCATAAAAGTAAACAATTCAAGACAATGTTTTACATCTTTGAAAAGTTCCCAAAACAGGATTTTTCCACTTTTTTTTTTTTTTTTTTTTTTTTTTTTTTTTTGTAGTACAAATCATTTTTGTGACTATACTGAAACTTCCATGCTAAATTCTGTTATCTTTAATTATATTGCTAACAGAATAAATTATATATTTACTTAAACCTCAGTAAAGTCCCTGCCTTATTCCCCCATCTGCATGTAAACTACTTTTTACAGGTTATTGTTTTCTCCCCACAAAAATCTAAACTACTTCTTTTACTTTTTTTTTTTTTTAAATGAACCCATCTACTACTTCTCTACTTATCAGCTGTATTGGTTTCACACAGTTTGATAACTTTGTCTTGAATGGATCTTTGTCTTGGCTTATTTTGTCAGAGTTGGTTTTCAACCAGCACCTTTAATTCAGTTTCCTTTTAGTTATTGTCTCCTGAAATATCAACACATGGGTTAAAAATAATCGTTTACACCTTTTGAAGGGCAACAGTGGATAAGGCAACTTATTGTACTTCTTATTTATTATCAGTAAATCCCCATCCCACACCCACAAAAGACAATAAGTGCTTTTCCATTGAGTGAAATAAAAGCAGGATGAGACCATATGGTTCTTGTTAAACGAGCCTCATCTTCCTATTGTTAATGCTTATCTCCAAAATAAAGTATTTCTGCAGAAAGCATATTCCCATAGCATGTTCTCTTTCCAATGACCAGTTGGTTGCCAGTTTGTTATTTGCACTGCAGTAGACCACTTTCATCTATTTCTATTCCAGTCCAAGAACACCATTTGTACATTGTCCAACTTGGAAATGTTAATCTGACACCATTGGTCACGGGCCTTTTAACTTCAAGTGGCAAACTTCCAGCTAGCTGCCAGTTGAGTATTTACACTGGAATCTTTCTTAGCCTAGAAATAAACTATTTGTTCACCATAAACATCAGCAACACACTACTAATTTCTGCAACATACATGTAGGAAGGTACAGCCCACCTCACTTTGCTGTTGGCTTCTCAATAACCTCCTAAGTAGCTCCTTGGGGAGATGCTGCTTGTCTTGAGCCAAGATAAATGCATCTATTTCCCTCTCCATGAATGTGAATAACTTTTATTTACATTCATGGGAGTTACACATGCATACTGAAAGGCAAGAAGAGGGATCAGAATTAGGATGGTTGGGCAGGAGTCTGACAGCTTCTCCTGAGACCCAGGACTGCTCACAAAGGCCAAAACACCAGGAAAACCCTAATGCAAAAATATCCAGTTGCTTTGGCATCATCCACAGATCCTTGTGCACAACCACAAGCACAGTGCTCAGGACGCCCGCTGGGAAAGAGGCAACACTGGATGTACTTGAATGCAGCTTTTCAGAAAGCAGAGTGGTGTGAGTCCTACGGGATTTTGCTTAGGAGATCGCTATTACTTCCAGCAATACAATTTATGCTTCCTGAAAGAATATTACACTTTGAGCTCTTTTCAATTAAATAGACTGGGGAGGGGGGGGGGAAGAAAGGTTATGCTGGGTTCTGTGATTTAGCTTAAGGAATTTTATGCAGTGGCAGGGGTGTGTTTCATGTACTTTGTTTGTTAAAATAAAACATTTCCTTTTTACATATTCCTGCAGTGACCTGCGGATGTGAGAGGCCAAAGAAAGACTTTAGAGAGTTCAAAATGTAAACTTCAGGAATGGAAACACCCTCCTTTAAAGAAAAAAGAATAATAACAACGATGCCCCATTCTCCCCTTTAATTTTCCTATTCAGTCAGATAATGTACTAGTGGCCTTTTGTGTTACCTTGGTTGCTCCGAGTTAAAAAAATAAAGTCACAGATTAGAGGAGAACTGACCCTACAGAAGTACTTTATCAAAAACCCAAAGGACCATTTGGGATGTACAGCTGCCTTTTATTATTTATGGACTACTTAGCACCTACCTGTGCATTTAGTTCAGCATCCCCATCCACTTGCACCTCACAACCACCAGAAAAATGCTGGCCAAAATGCAAACACCAGCCAGCATGAAAAGCAGGATCCTGCAAATGGACATTATGTGAGCCAAGAAGAGGTGTTCACCCCACGGCAGGCTGGACACTGGCACTTGATGAATCACAGAATTGTCTAGGTTGGAAAAGACCTTGAAGATCATCCAGTCCAACCATTAAATGCCCTAACCAAACCTGGATGCTGTCCAGGCACAAACATAGGGAATGGCATTTCACAGCCCCCTGCTCCTCTACAGACAGCAATTCTTGAGCAAAGCCCAGTAACTTAATTTCCAGGTTTAAACCCTCTGCCCTGACTTTGCACCAGAAGAAAGCAACGCTTGCATCACCAGTGAGAGAGCACCTGAGTTTTGGTGGCTCTTGCTGACCTGCCTAGGCAATGAAGTGTCAAACAGTGGCTGCACATGCTCCCCCCCCCAAGCCTCCTAGACTCTCCTCCAGAATCCAACTCATCACAGGGAATATTTTCAGTGTTGGGGACATGACTTACAATGTGATTTAGGATCTTAAAGGCTCAGATGCTTAAAAAAATTTATTTGCTTGTAGAAGTCTGGTAAAAAGTGCATTTCATATCCACCTACAGAAGGAATGGTCAGAGGCACTCACTGTTGCTAGATACTCCAGTACCTTGGGCAAAAAGCAGTTGTACCATGAAACTGAGGGCTTCTTCTTCCAGTGCTGAGCTCACTTGCTCCTGCAGTCAATGGGATTTCTATATAAGACATATCAATGTTAATTCTGACCTTTATTAACTTCCCACTACTTTTTTGCACCCTCAGCATTCCTTCAATTTGGTAGTATGAAATATATACAAACATGTAACCATCTGCCATGCACCAAAATTTTGATAAACATACACTTTTCTTACCTCACCTAAGGCTCCTTTTGCAATCGAATGAAGGCGAACAAAATATTTTGACGTCTCGAGATACATTCTCTTTTCCAGGAGGGCAAATAAATAGACCTGACATAAAATAATGTCATAACAATCAGCAACTACAACTCGATTCTTGGTGCTGTAACTTGAAACTTTTAAGAGAGGGTTAAAGTAACTCAAGTCTCAATTCCTGTCCACTAAAAAAGCATCCACTCCTTTTGTGTTGGGTTTTTCTGTATGGCTAATCCTATTTGGGACAACTTCTGAGCTAGATAAAATAACGAAGTATTTCCCCAAAATGCTTAAGGAAATTTGACAATTGGAGATTGGCCTCATTGACTACAACCAAGCAATAAGAAACTGGAGCAGGCAGAACTGCAGAGCGAGGAAGGGTGCTTGGGCTCCAAGGGAAGAAGAAAATCAAGCCCCTTTCAGAAGAAATCCAGTTACCAGGGGAAAACTAGGAGTCTGCAAAAGGATAATGGGTCTGAGAAGTGCGATGAGGAGACTGGGGAAGAACCCCAAGCTGCCTGGAAAAAAGTTGAGCAGTTGAAGAAAGACAGAGAAGTTAAAAAGAGGCCTGGGGCTAATCTTCCTGATGGTTTATTTTTTCCCCTGTTTGTTTATTTGCTACAAGTCAGATTTTGGAGCAATTAGTAAAATATCATGCAAATATTCCCTGTGTGACTGCACATGAATAACTTTAATTTCGCTAAACATTTGTCTCATCGTTCTGAAATACATCTGCTGTTTGCATTAAGATAATCTGCTAAAATACTGGGAAGTAAATTACAGTTTTTATAAGATATTTATGAAACAACTTCTTATTTGTACATTAAATATCTCTGAATATCATGGCCTGTTTTTTTGGCTGATGTCTGCCTTCCCCAGGAGCATCCGTGCCCTGTTTCAATTACAGACTGGGCTGAGTACCATCTTGTGGAAAAGCTCCAACTGGCTGGGAATGGCTCAGCGTACACTCGTAACAGGCTGAGGGAATAATACCAGATCTTCCAGCAGCCTATGACCAAAAATTTAAAAAATCCTCCAACCCCCAAACAAATGTACATAAATCACATGGTATTTGCAGAAATTCTGTCACAACACCACAGGAGAGCGTGTCACTCTGCTCGGATGGGGTGCTGCAATAAATGCCCTTATGGAGAGACAATGATAAGGCTCGGAGGCTGCTCCCAGGCCCTGCTTGTGACCACACACCACACCAGGAAGTAAATTAAAAGCATTTTTGACTGTTTCGTTCTCTCAGGGTTGTCTCATTCTCTTTGCATGCAGAGAAGTCCTAAGGGGTTGAGGAAAGACGTGTTGGTTAGTATCGCCGCAGACCAGATGAGTTTGTGTGTAGTCCTGTTTTCATCTTTTCAAAGGAGATGTGGAAAAATCAGGTAATTTGTCATCTTCTAGCACTGACGTTTTGGGGCAGGACCCTAAGGGCTGCACCCCGTGAGAAGGAGACAGGGTCACTGAGGAAGGTGGAGAAAGGAAAGCAAACAGATCTATGTGCTGGAGGACATTGGTGCTGTACAGATGGGGACATATCTGCACTAGCCTCAAGCATGGGTAGATAGAGCTGTGAGAGCTCAGGGTGAGTAAGGAAACCCACCCTGAGATGCAAGTAAATCCTAGATCCCTGCCATAGCTTGCTCTAGACAGGATCTGCATGCTGGCAGCGCCCAAACCACTTCAATTAAAGTTAGCTCATGTGTAGCTGCATGAGCTCTAGCCACGTGAGCACGGACACATCTGTAATATTAAAGGTTATGCCTACATCCCGCTTAAAACCCAGCCCAGAGTGCTCAGGAGTTGCCATGGCCACACAGATAACATGTGGGGTCTATGAAGCCACTGAGGAGTTTATTGACCCCCCCAACCTTCCCTGACTATCTGAGACCCTGTGTTCTTTCACAGATAGGCACCAGCTGCAGATTTCATGTCTGGACACACGGCATATCTGGCTTGGAGGGTTTTGAGGGTTTAGTTCAGAAATGCTGGCAGTGGAGTTTGGGTGTGCAAATCACAGATTAGGTACTTCTTGAGCTACCTCACTCGGGAGTACCACCTCCTCTCACTTTACATTTCCTGCAAAGCTGCTCTGTCCCTAGTCCACAAGTTAAAATTGAATGCCCATTTTAAAAGTGAATGCGGTGAAATGGGAAGAAGAGGAAGCCCACAGCACCAGAATTTGGATTTAGATGATCTAAATTCAGGATGAAGAAGTCTGGGAAACAGAAGAGGAGATTGAAACACTTTAACAGACCACCTTAACCCACAGATCCTGCTCTGGTTTGGTATTAACTGCTCAGAGTCCAGCTTAAAGAATAATAAAAGGGTAGTATAAGCCTGCTCACCCTCCACTTGCTTGTACCCCACACAGTGCCTGTACCACTGCTTGTACAGCCACATGCCGCATTGGCCCGGGGACCCTCAAATTGATGCAACAGGATGGGGAAGCAAGTAGGGGAGGGTGTATATCCGCATGGATCAGCCACTTAATGCTCACAGCAAAATAATGAGCAGCCTGGGCCAATGTGGCTGGGTTCTGGCTGCCTCACCTAGGTATATTGGTAACCAGTGACCAGGGCTACGCCGAATCCTGCCCACTGTCCCTGCTTCACAGAGCCAAGGGCTCTGGCAGGGACCACACCGGCAATTGTGCAACCCCGCTGCTCAGCCACAGATTTCCTCTGGCACCAGCAGCACAATAGCGGGCCTGTTGGTAAACAGGAATTGTTCCCCTGCCACAATAGAGCTCAGGATGAAATAATTCCCTGATACCAGGCAGCCTCAACGTGCCTCCTCCGCTTCCCACCCCAGTTTAGATGGTAGTGCCTTCCTGCTCCCTGTGGGCCTTGAGTCCCTCATAAAATGACAACACAATAAAACAAAATAATAATGGAATCCATATAAGGCTTGATGTCTTCATTGCTCCTTAGAAAAAGTGCCAAGGGAGCTTCGCCTGAATACAGGCAGAAGGTTCCCTGCATCAGCAAGGATTTTTTTAAGAGGAGGAAAGGACATTTTTCAAGCTCTGGATACCAGTATCCAGCTCGTCCATCCTCAGCTATACACCTCCATCAGAAAGAAACAGGTAGTTATGGGAGAAGAATCCCTGGGTCTGGCAGATAGATATGGAGTTAAGCTCACCTTAAGCATCCAAGGGCTGTGTGGGAAAGGAGATGACTGCTGACAGCCCTACCGGAGAGGCTTTGGCCAGGGCTGACCTGCTCCCAGCATCTCCCTTCCCCACAGCATCAGGGACTGTCAGGCTCTCACAGAACATTTGGTAGCTGTGGTAATTGCACTGTGTTGTCTTAAAACTGCGGAGGCGTGGCCCTAAATAAAACCAGACACCCGGCCTCACTCCAAGCGCGAGAGCCCCCCAGCTTCCTGCCCATGCAATCTGACACAGAGCCCCATCCAGCCTCCCTGTCCTGCCTTCATTTTTCAGTCACATGGTTATTAATGAATTTGTAATTGCATAGGGGGAAAAAAGGTAAACATATGATTTGAGACAAATACATACATGTCATGAATACATATACATATACATATACATATACATATACATATACATACACATACACATACACACACTCTCTCCCCTATCTATATTTTTTGGTCAATGGTGTCCTAGAACCCAAATGTACCATTTAATTATTTGTGTTGGGAGTGCCAAAGGAACCTACCATTTATTTATATAGTTAAATCAGCTGCAGATGTGTGTGTGCTTTTGCCTTCATCCTTTCTTTCCTTTAGTGTTGGCATTTCTGACATCTCCATTTTTTTTTTAAATCTTTCTCATTCAATGAGGGCATCTGAAAAGCGTTGGGAAACAGCTTGCTGGTCTTGTCTGCAGGGGTGGGCATCCCACATCACTCTCACAGGGCTATGCTTTTCTCCTGCCCCAAAGCAAGGGCTCGACAAATTAAGACCTCAAACACCAGGAATTGAGGGGAAAAGGAAAGTTTCCTGCACCACATGGGCCTGGGAGAGATCCTCTGGTGAAGGAAGCATTGCAGCTGAGTCCCCACAGTTCACTGCACCCATGGCACACACCAGAGGAGCTCAGTACCATGGGAAAGGAACCATCACACTGTTTCCTGAGAAGCCCAGCATAATCCCTATGAACAAACTTTCCATCTCCATTTTTTCAAGCTTGAAAGACATAAGAAGTGACCTCTGCTTTTCATTTTTCAGGGCAGGGAGAGTATGTAGCATCTGTCTGAGCTGGGTTTTGGCAAAACCTACTGCCTTGGAGGGCCCAGCTCAGGCTGACACTCTGACTTGCTTGCATCAGCCTTGCTTGGTGGTTTGGGTTTATCCCTGTGAAAACTAGGCTCAGTGTTAGCTTTCAGCATTAGGCAGGTGACACAGCTGAAGTCAGAGATGCCCATTTGATTTTCGGAAGCGCTATCAATTTTCTCATTACTTTTTTCCGCCATTATCATGTTTCTTTTCTTGAGTGAAATTCAGAGGAGCAGGGCACCAGCCGCTCTAAGCAGCACGCCAATGACTGCCAGCAGAAATCAGGACAGATACTGCTCTACCCCTTTTGGCAGGAGGAGGCAATCTCTTTCTGCTTTACCTGGAAGACAGTCATCAAGGCTTAGTAGCCCCAGGAAGCAACTTAAGGCTGTAGCCAGAAAATGCACTTCAGATTCTTTTGGCAGGAGGCTGATGTTTCCTAATATTGCTCTGGATGCTTAAATGATGTGATAATAAGCATATTAGAAGCATTTAGGAGATAGGACTATTAGCAAATGATGATTCATTTTTAAACTTTTAAATGTATCTAAAACTGATGTTCACATGTTGAAACCCCGCTCGCTGTCAAAGAGCTGTCAGGTGAGTGATGCTGTGTGTGTTGGGTGCTGGCTGCACCCCTGGGCATACTCCCAACAGCCCCTTACACCCCACCAAGGCAGCCTGGCCACTTTTTAAAGCCAAAGACCATCACTCCAAGGGCATTTCCAAGCACCACTTGCAGAAATCCCCTTGGGGAAGCCGGTCACAATGCCATCGAGGCAGTCTCTTTAAATTCACCCATATATGAGGAGGATAGCCTGGTT